TACTGCACGAAAAGTTTCAGCAATTTGCCTTTAGGCACGATGCCATGTACCACTAGTCAACTTGCAACTAGCAAAAAAGGGGGGCCTCGCGAACGAATTTCGCCGACGCCCACGAATGGTCTAGCGCCGCCACTGTCTATATGTATTTATAGTTTTCTATATGTATTAATATTTTTCAAATATTACGTAAATAGCTGCTTGATTTATGACTTTATGAACAAAGGTGCTTAGAATACATTAAAAAAAACTTTTTATTAGAAAATTTTAATCATCAGAATTGCCTTGCCATTGAGTAGAATGTAAGTATTCCACTTTTTCGTATATTTTTAAAAATATTCTTAATAGTAAGAATCCTTTAACATTAATTAACATTAGTTAATGTATTTTTTTTTCAAATGTTTTGTTGCAACTCTCTGCAACTTGTTTTGTTTAAATTCAACTGGACAGCAGATTTTTTTTCACAAAACTTAAACGAAATATAAATTTATTCTGATCAATTAAAAAACGAAATTCGTTTGAATGAATAATTTTCAAAATAGTTTTCTTCTAAAACCGTTTCTTAAAGATTTAAACATTGCCCAAAAATTAATTATAACCACAATGATCAATATGAAACATAAAAATGTACGTTTTTATTTATACACTACATACTTTGTTTTCTAAGCACTTTGCGTATAATCACACTATAATTATTATTTAGTATAAATTTCTATAGTACTCAATTAGTCATTAATAATCGCAGATATTTATCAATAAAAATCTACTTCCACACTCATTTGCTTTGCAAGTTATTTACGTAATATTAGAATCGTTTCTAAGAAACTGATAGTAATACTTATATACTTTTCTTCATGTTTGTTATTCGTTTGATTAATTTTGAAAAATATATAGAAAACACTTTCTTCAAAATAATAGACAGTATTTTGTTTCTACACCTTCAGCCTTCAAAGGTTTTAATATAGCAGCAGATTATATATATAATATATTTCATAAGTAATAATGCACCCTGAATATGATACAATCAAACTTGACTTTAAATAGATCTTATTTAGAGCAATATTATAAAAAATTTGATAAAAGCTAATTAATTTCTCATAATATTGCTCATTTTATGAAGATCGGTCTTAAGATCAATGTATTACCATGTGAGGGCGTCAATATTACATATAAGTTTAAGTACTTTTATATATTATAGGGTGGGTCAAATTTTTTGGCCTTTGGGGCATATCATGATTCTTGATTTATGAGTTATTTTACAAAAATTTGCTGAAGGAACCATAGATCGAAAGTGAATTTTGAGCCAGCGAATTTTTTAATAAACCTTTTTTTTATATATTTCTTTCCACTCGCGAATTCTAGAATTAATACGTATTTAGCCGCCGGAGCAGCGGCATATGAGTAAAAAGAGTTATATCAATAAAAAAATTAGATTTACTCAACTGAAAAAGTTGAAACAAATTCCTTAAAATGAAAATAAGCATAAAAGTTGATATTGACCAGGACCATACCAGCATATCTGTATTATAACACATAACAGGCGGCTTATTTTTTAAAACTTTAATTAATTTTTATAAATAAACTACATCTTATTCTACATTATTTTAAGGTTTTAAAGATCAATTCTATCACCACGCAAAAATTTATAAAACTTGTGGACTACTATGTGATTTTTGCAAGTTGTATTTAAAGAAAAATACTTTATTGAAAGTTTCGCTGGCTCAATTTACAAGCTATGGTTTCTTCGGCAAAAGTTCTTGACACGATCCACAGAATCTGCGAAGAGTTTTTTTATAATTTTTTTAGCTTTATATAATTTGACCCCCCGTGATATATTAATATTTCGATATGACAGAACATTTGCATTATTATAATAATCCTAAGAACTTTATATTTAGCACCACATACGTACGCAACCATATGTAAGCGATCACATTTCTTGCTCAGGTTCAGTCTAGCACATAAATAGCTGAAAAACTTGCAACACAAAGAACCACATTTCTTCACATAAATATTTCATAACCAAAAATCTGTGTCACCCACAACACTATACCACATTATTTACAGTGTCATGTTTCAAGTCCGATCACTTGGTAAATTCGTAGCAAAAACTCAGATGTGGTCAAAAACACTGAGGTGACAAACAACTTATAAGAAACAGAAACCAAGAAATTCACAGAAGAACTGACGACGGGGGCGACTTCTTCTACCTCTGCCATTTTGAAAATGGACAACAGCAAATGCGAACTGAATTCAGCGTCCTGCTGGTTGATTTTGTCACTGATGTCGTGAAGGAGGTCAGAGCAATATTCCTAATCAGAGCGGAACAAATTAACTTCTTCGAACAGTAATTAAGCAATAAGTGTACAGCAAAAGAGCAGTGCACAGTACAAGTTGCAGAAATATAACAACTATAGCAGAAACTATTAGTCAATGCAACGCCAAGTGAAATGATAAAAAGCAAAATTTGTTTCAACATAACAAACATTCTCTACACAACAATCCGCTGAATCTAAGCTATACAAACTAAAAACTTGCACAAGCATGAAGATAAATTTAAAATCCTACTGGAAACCAATAATAATTTGGTCATACATTAAATTGTGCTCAACATTTATAGAGTAGGAAAGAAGTATTTCATATTTTCTTTCAATGAATAACTAAATGCAATTAAGGCAAATAAGCAATAAGTGCTATTTTACAGCAAAAGAGCAGTGCACAGTACAAGTTGCAGAAATACAACAACTACAGCGGAAACTATTAGTCAATGCAACGATAAACAAAATTATAACAGACAAAAATTGTATCAACATAATAAACATTCTCTACATAACAATCCACTGAATTAAAACTATACAAACTAAAAACTTGCATCAAGGATCAAGATAAATTTCAAATCCTACTAGGAACCAATAATAATTTGGTCAAACATCAAATTATGCTCAACATTTAGAGTGTGCGAAAGAAGTATTTCATATTTTCATTCAACGAATAACTAAATGGGTACATTGAATTTAAATCTGCAATGAAATAAAATACCAATAAAATTAAATAAGCTACCAATCAAGAAGAACTACAGTACGAGTATATGTTTTACTGATATTAATTTGGCATAATAAGTTAAAAGCGGCGCATTAAGAAGGTTAACTTGATAAAATTGATTTTTACATATGTGTGTGCACATCATGTTTTGTTGTACTAATATAGAAAATATTGATAAAACCATGAAAGTTTTGATTTCATATGTAACCTTAGTTGTGTGAGAAATACAAAATAATTTGGTTTTGTTTATATCATGTTACTAAATTATGCTTGTTTGTACATCAGAAATATTCTTTTCAACTTCCCGAAAGAAAAGGAGAAGTTTATGTTTTCATCAAAAAATCCAATTCGCTACTTTTATGTTTTCTCGACGTTTCAAGCCATTCTGAATCGAATGAGACCAAATTTGGAAAAAGTATGTGTGTGTGTGTATGTGAACAAATTTTTTGCCGTAAATTGACGTTTTCTCAAAAATGACTGGACCGATTTCAAAAATTTAAAAACCATTTGATGTGTATCAATGAGGAATATCGCTTGTCAGTTTTGTGCGACGATCAGCCGAGCCGTTTCTTTGTAATTTGGAAAAAAGTGTTAAACTTTTCGTCCACATTTAAGCTCATACTACCGAAGCCATTTTAAAAAATCAAAAGCTGTTCCAAAGATATTAGTTGGGAATGATACTGATTAGTTTTAGGTGAAAATCTACCGAGCAGTTTTCTTGTAATTCGTTGTTGAAAAAAAATTTGAGCCGATTTTTATGAAACTTTTTTTGATGATATATATCATGGTCTTATAGAACTTACTGAAATATTAGTGCCTTACGACAAGTAGTTTAATTCTAAAAATTCATCAATGTTAGAGCAAATTTGTAGTTACTTTTGACGTTTGTTAAAATTGAAATTAGAGGAGTTACTTGGTTTTTTAAGTGGTCCTATTATACAACAAATATTTTTTTAAGTTTGTTATTAAAAAAATGAATTGTATATTAGCAAATAGTTTAGAACCATAAATATGTTTTGTCTCACAAGTAATGTGAATATTTTTGTCTTCAGGATATTATGTTTATGTTTTAGAATTACATATTAGTTTATATGATTAAAAATCAAAAATTCATTATGCCAAAGAACTGCTAAATACAGAGCTTAAATATAAAAATAACTTAACAACATTGATAACACAGGTTCATAAGAAAATAAAAATTGTCTGTATTGGGTGTGCGGTGTGCGGCATATATTTTGAAATGTAATTTTCACTGCTGAACACTAAAGTCAAAATTGTGGCAAAAAATTGGAAGAAATTAAAAAAACGTCAAACCTCCGATCTAGTAATCTTCTGCGTAATAATTAAAATTCCATAATTTCTGTTGTTTCCTGGCCCTTTCTATCTTAAATGACCCTTGAGTTTCAATTAAATGATCTATTTAGTTTTTCTTTGTATAAATCAACAGTAATTTGCAAAAATATTACCTCCCTATTGCCCCTGGGTGATCTCCATGTTTTCAATTTGAATAACTGTTAAATGTTGGGAAATTACTGCTATATTCTACAAAAAAACTTTATAGATCATTTAGGCGAATACTTAATTAAATGTAGTCATTTAAGATAAAAAGGGCAATGAAACAATAGAAATTATGAGATTTTAAGTATCATGCAGAAGAATGACTAAATTGAAGATTTTTAATTTTTTTTAATTCTTTGCCACTTGATCCCAAATTTTGACTTTAGATTCGTGTTTAGTGGTAAAAAATACACTGGAAAACATATGCCGCACATCCAATACAGCCAACTTTTTTTTGTAAGCCTTTGTAATTTAAGAGATAAATACACTGACGGTTCGATTGTCCAAGTAATGTCTTTTTGGCACAGTAGAATATTTCCAATATTTCCCATGCGTTAAAATAAAAGCAAAATAAAACAATTTTATAAAATCATGCAAGCATGCAGTAAGCATAAATCTCCTACCTTTTCTCTAAGATGCTGCACCATTGGTGAAACGTCAGCCGAACTCTCGCTATTCGGAATGCGTCCAACCATAATAACGTTCTCACCAGTAACGTTGTATAGAGTCAATATGCAAGGAGGAGTTTGAGATGCGGACGAAGAGGATTCGTCGTCATCAATTTCATTTGCAGATTCCAAAGTATGTTTTGAATTTGGTCCAGAACGTGCAATATCTTGTAAGGCGCGCACGGCGTCCAATATTCCTAGCTCGGTGTGGGGCCGGAGCAGAGCCTCGTCGGTTGCACTGTATCCCAGGAACAGAAACACGCCGCGTGGCAACGCGTAATCACCTGCGAATAATAGAATATAATGTACATACTTGGAAAATATGATGAAATAATACAGTTTCATTTTATAGTTTACATTTAGTTTTACGAAAGTGTTGTGCGCTCACATCACACAATTTCTTTATTTGCTAAAAACGACAATAAGATTTGTATAGTTTTATTTTTTGATACAGTAATCTATGCAAGTGGCGAAAATGGCTTGGTCAGTAGCGTGCCCGACTCACACGCTAGGTTTACTCGGTTCGAGTCCTAGCACTAACATAAAATTGTCATTAGATTGCGATGCATGCAAAAAATGCGGGCACACGCCTGAGAGGGCGCCAAAACGAGATTCGGATATGAAATTTATAATTTATTTTTTTCAATATCATTCAAAAAATATATAATTTCTTAGCATCTTTTACTAATCTTAGACCATATTTTTTAATTTTAACTTTAAAACAACAATCAGATACACGATGGGAAAGATAGATGAATACGTACAACACTTTGGACCTTACGATATCAATTAGGAGAAGTTTACGATTCAATTTTAGATATTTTAAATAAGGAAAAATTGAATTGAAATAATCCAACGAAGAACCAGTGTTATGTTTAATAATGAGAGGATAGATTTTATTTGCTATCTGTGATTTGCTCAATATAATAAATCGCATAAAATCCCCAAAATAAATAAGTAAAATGTTCCAAACCCGAATATTAATATTACACATGCGCTAGAAATAAATGAAAATTTAAAAACACTTTTGTAAGCAATAATAAACATACTAAAATTGTTGGATATCCGAAAACCCGCAAATCGCCTTGATCTTCAAAATATATTAAAAATCAATGTATTTTATGCGCATTTAGTTTATATATAATTTTTTGTATACTAAATCCAGATTTATTAAAAATTATTTAAAAAAATTAACGTGGATCATGATTTTTTCACGATTTTCTTCAAAAAAAATCGAGGTGCTGAAAATTATAGTGTAGTTTCCTTTTGATGTTAGAATACAGTTGTAAAAAAAATACGATCGTAGTTTAAATAGTTTTCTAGATATACGCATTTAAAAACTGCGATTATTTGTGAAGTGTTTATGTAATTTTTTTTAGGCAAATGTCTTGCGAACTGTCTCGAAATAGGCATTTAAAAATTGCGATTATTTGTGTTTATCGAAATTGCGATTATAACTGTTTATGTATTTTTTGTTTTGTTTTAGGCAAATATCTTGCAAACGGTATGAGTATTTTAAAAGTTCTTGAATTGCTATTGAGAGAGTCTTTTAGGATACCAGTGTAGTGATACTTTCCTGAGAAACTCCGATGAAAGTGCATTTAGACATGAAACATTTTGTTATATGGTTAACTTTGGTTATAAGAAAGAACTAAGTCGTAGGATTTTGGAGCTTAAAAATTGGTTTTTGACAAATTGATTGTGAAAGTAATACAAAAGCATGATGTGTATATCGCGGATCCAGCTTTATAGTTTTGACTCAAGTCAAAGTAAGGTACATAAATATTATAATTGAATTGTGTATCAGCACCTCGTCACATTGGTCCACTCCGAGGTTAAAAATAAGTCTAGACTTTAATTTTTTTATTGAATGTTTTTATTAAATATGAACAAATTCTTCTCATACAGCTAAGAAACTCGTAACGATATGATATAAATTGAAATAGGTATAATATTCAACAAACAAACGACAAATTCATTGATAATAGAGAGCAAATAAGAGTCGGATTAAAATCAAAATATGTTTTGTGTCTATCAGTGCGTAGGCGTGTAAATGTTCCGAGAAATATTGTGTTTGTAAGATTCACATAACATGAATTAGCTTTTTAGTCAATACTTCTTCAAATGAATGATTTGTTTGAGTACAACCATCAATAAATTAAAAGTGTTTTTACAATAAATATAATGATCGGTTATTACCTGGTGGCGGTCGCATACATATGAATCGTCCAGAATAGCAGAGGCATCGTCCCCTGTAGGCCTGGTAGGCTGGTGCCGCGTGACTGTAGTACGCGAAGTCAGTGCGGCAGGGAGTGCGGGAAACGCACAGCGTGTGGCAGGTGAGCGATTCGCCCAAATCGCAATGGCACAGTTCGGAGCACTCGGGTTCATCTTCTCGAAATAGCTATTATAAAGAATTACATAATAGAGAATAAATTCAAATAAAAGTGTATCATCATTCTTATTAGATTTTATATGTATACGAAATCTTCAAAAGTATATCTTAAGTAAAGAAATCATGTGTAAGTTAGAGGTAATTATCTATACTAAAGATTTTTCACTTTTTTCGAAGCACATGGGTTTACCCACTCGAAATAATTATTACAAAAAGTTACCAAGTTAAATAAATACAAAAAATAACGAACTAATAACTTACTCGTTTACTATTTCCTTCGCGTATGTATTGATCTGATTGATTTGGACGTTGGACCACACAATACCCTGGAAAACAAATTAGTATTATACATACAATCAATAAGTAGCATTTTATATCTTGTTACATTATATAAATTTGATATTCAGTGATTGCAATAGTGATATTTACTTAAATATTTGTTAATTTTGTTCGATTGAAATCTATAAATCACATTACATTTTATTTCCAAAAGAACAATTTATTTTTTTGATTTATGATATGTCTTATATTTAAATGAGCGCTATATATCTTGGATTAATGCCAATATCATTTATTTAATTACTATTATTAACATGTAACATCCAGCGAAACTACTTTACACTCATTTATGAGGCATTTTGAATCAGAAAACATTATAAAACTTGCAAAAACTTCCAGGGAATAACTAATATAGGATTTGATTTAAAATTTAATATTGTTTTGTTTGCTTGATATAAATTAGTAAGAAGATAAGATAAATTATTATATTACTTGGAGGTATAGTGCTAGTTGCAGGTGTGGTCGTTGTGGTAGTTGTAGTCGTCGTCGTAGTCGACGTGATGGTAGTAGTTGATTCTCTGGCGGCTCCAAACATTCCATATCCGCCCAGGTTGATGGCCATTTCGGCTTCAGAAGCAACTTCTTCTACATTTGATTTTACCTGCTGCAAAATTATATATGTAAAAATACATTTCAGATTTAGTAATAAATATTTGCTAAATGTAGAACCATTTATTAAAGTATTTTCTAACAATAATCATCTAGTTATAACCTTAGAGTTTATGTAAAAAAAGGTTGTATTTAACTTAAAAATAACAAATACATCTTATAAAACAATTAAATAACGCATACTTAAAATTTATATGCAGGTATCATAAACTAACAACCGTTCTCAAAAACAAAAAAACTAACAATGAAAAACAATACTGTTGTTATAAAATTGACAATGTGGCCGCTTATTTTGTGGTAATAAAATCGCCCGACTTAAAGCGATGACTTGTTACACATCTTTTGTCATTTCATAATTTCATAACTTCATTCGTTTTTTAGATAATGGTGGCGAATCTTTTTACCTGCGGATCTTTAAGCTCCGCTCTACGTTATATCTAAAAATCAATATATGATAAAATTAAAAAAAGTACCAATATTGTATAAAACGAAATAAAATTATTATGATAAGGTAAATAATCTAGCGAGGAAAACTATAGTAAATGAGAATGATTGAAGTTTATTATATATATTTAATAAAATTATACAATCATTTTTAATTTAGAAGCAAGTTGGTCATTGTAGGGAAGATTTAATAATCTTATTTCGAGACCAAGAACAAAGAAATAAAATTTTAAAGATAGTTACATTCAGACTCTTCAAACATAAAGAAAAGTAAGATTGTTTGTTAATATACCTGTGGTTCTGTAACAGGAATAATTCTTTCAATAGCTGGAGCAGTTATAACCAGTTGCGTAGTGGTAGTTTCAGGAAAGGTCACTGTTGTCATTGCAGTACTGGTCGTCCATGGAGCAGCTTCCTCTAATCGTTGGATATGAAACTCTTTTTGAGAAGCCACTGAGAACAGAAATTAATGTCATCATTTGCATATACAAAAATTTAAATATTGATTGAACCAGCTCGAATATATAAATAAGTAGATATTTATACTATCAAATCTAGGCGACTGTTTAATTAAAGTAAAAACAAAATAGTGAACACACGAAAATTATTTAAAACAAAAACTTTTAATATGTACTAAGCAAAATTAATCAATAATGTATACGAATTCAAAAAATATTTATTTTTTGTCACTCTGGTTAAAGTTAGACTTGACATTAGTTAACCCGTATACGCCGGAGCGGTGGCATCCGAGTGGAAAGGGTTAATATAACAGGCATGTTTTCTGTGATGTATTACTATCTTGAATAAATAAATTTCTTTATAACACCGACATCCACCAATTCATATACGTTTTCCTTACCTACACACGGATTGATCCAAAGTAACCTCTGCCAGCCGAGGCATTCGAAAAGTTGCGCTAGATCGGCGCCCTTGCAGGCGCACGTGGTACGCAGTTCAGTCCCAAGAATGCCGAGCATCGCCACGCGGCACTCGGACGCCGGTCCTGCGCATTTCTTGGTCACGCTGTCCACAGCACACGACTGCTCGTACATCTCCAATCGGCCCCTGGATATAGATAATCATAGATAAATAAACATAAATAGATAACAATACAAGTTATTTTGATACTAGTGGGTTGCATGGTATCGTGCCTTAAGGCAAGTTGCTGAAACTGCCCGTACCGTAATTGAAATCTTGGTAAGGAACCCAAAAAAATTTACACAATATGTGTACACATTATTAAAATTTCTATAAAATATCTGATAATTTGATGTACATATGTCCAATAAAAATTTTTGACCGCCAAATGACATTTTTTAACTTATTTTTATTGAGAGTCCATAACCGCTGGACATAACCTTCCCAAAAATTTGAACAGTTTTTCACCTTGTCAATACAAGTAAAATATTATTATTATTGAAATCGGACGCTCCGTTCTCTTAAAAACTGAGTAATAGGATTCGTATGTTCTTTGAATAATTAAAATCGGTTGAACCGTGTTCCCGAAATCGTTGACGAAAATTTGTATCCGCACACACACACACAGACATACACACACACATACATCAATTTTTTCTAAGTTATGCCAAAATGTTGCCCTACGGGAAGTTAAAAAATATATCCGATACATGGGAAAGTACAGATTTATGTACTTTAATAATAATCAAAACATGGCAAATTAATTATATTATGATGGTTATTATTGTCTATGACAATTACTATATGATTTTATTTTTGTGAAGTAAAATTATCATTTTTCTCAAAAAATTTATTTTTTCATTTTGTGAATATTTACTACGTTTCGGTTTACGAAATAACCTCTTTTTTGGGATCAGAATAATTGAAACCAATTTTTTAACATTAACAAGCAATAGAAATTAATTCTAACTTTGCTGTGATGTGTTACATATTTCAGACTTTCATTTTTAGAAATATGTAACACATCGCATCATCATCATTTAAACAAAGTAAAGTAATATACCAATATATAACAAAACATTTTTTTTCAAACAAAGTTAACAAAAACCTTTGTGAAATCTTTTTTTCGTACTGAATTTTTTATTTCCCTTTCTCTTTCGTATTTTGTCTTAGCTAAGTTATATCTTTCTTTATATGTTTGATCTTCACCCGAAGAAGACAATAAATACATGTCACAACCGCACTCACAAAATTTGTCACAGCCGTACCCAACGCACATTTTTGAAAACAAATCTGAGCTAAATTATCTACGCAAAAACTAATAGTTGGCTTTGTTGACTATTAATGCTTAACTTACAGCAAAATGGACAAAAAATTACAAAGAGCGCTGATTAAACGCAATAAATGAAAACTTGTTCGAACAAACATACTTCATCTTTCTCGCTTTGGACCCTATCTCAAAATCAGTATAGCTTAGCTGTTATGACGACTGTCAATACTGTCACTACCGTACCCTGGCACAACCGTACCCAGCCTCTCTTACTCAAGGTAAGTCAAATAAGATCTTGAAACGTTTTTACAAAATTTATTTAAAAAAATTAAACCCGACTAATTTTTTTATTTTCAATAACTGGATGGATGCCTGAGTAATAACTTTTTTGTTATACTGTCATGGTACAGCTCATATTATTTTTTGTTATCTTTTTCAGCTTTATCTTTTAAATTTTTGGTTCATAAATTATTTGTTATATACATAACTAGTTTATTGTTGGTTTAGATTATGTTTATTAAATTACTTGTAAGTGTATACTGTTCCCACTAGTATAGGGATGAGAAATTCGAAACATCGGCAAGTTTAATATTTAAATATTTTCAACCTAACTTTCTTTTTCATTTTAGAATGAATAAGAGTCTTTTGCAAAAAGGCTTTTCAAAAAACTTGTTTGAATTTGCTATTGTTCAATTCTGCACGATTTTTAAGCTTTATTATAACATACAAATGCGTACATCGTTTTTTTTAGCATGGTAAATTGACCAAATATGAAGATGTACAAATATAATTGGTATTACTCACTGGTAATTCATTAACACATATAGAAAAAATATTAAAGTATGTATTTTGGCATATGTTAAATCATTATTTTATCTACTTTAAAATATCTACTCTACATCCTTACTAAATATGTCCGTTAATGTTCATATTATTAATAATAAACAACACAACTATAAAAAGAAAACCATAGATGATGACATTAAATGATACGAAGTTTATTCGAAGTGCAACTTTAACAACTCGTTTTATTAGTATAGTGATCTTATAAAATTGTTATTGATACTTTGAATTTAAGTGTACCGTGGTTATGTCACGCTATAACTGTTAGCTGCATTATTCACCAATTGTTTGTTCACGAGTTTTCAAGATGATAAAATGAAGAAATAATAATATATATATATATTTCTTACGAAGGTGTTTAATACCTTTAAAATTAATCACTGTGATAATTACACTTTATGGTTAATTTGAATACTAATATTTTATATTTGATATATTCCGAATATTATTTCAGTTAAGTCCAATATATTTTTTTGGAATCAGATTTGTTGTTGAAGACATCTAAACATTATCGAGAACTGGACTAAACGCTGGCCGATAAAAATCAACGAGAGCAAGTCTAACCATATAACATTTACTCACAATAAGACAACATGGAGTGTATTTTTTTACCAGATAATACCAAGTGCTGATAATACCTAAGTATGCATCTAGACCGCAGACTAACATGAAAAAACCAAATCATAACAAAAATCAAAAGCATCAAATCCATAGTCAGAAAACTTTATTGGCTGATCGATCATAATTCAAAATTAGCACTCGAAAACCAAATCTTGGTTTATAAAACGGTAATAATTCCTATCTGGTCATACGGAATAGAGCTTTGGGGCTGCTCTAGCTAATTTAATGTTGCATTGGTATAGCGGACTCAACCAAAACTACTTAGAATGATGACATCACTCTGGTAAGCGAGCAATAAAATTCTGCATGATGATCTGAATGTGCTATATATTGAAGACTTTATGAAAATAAGATCCACTAATCATCACCACAAATTAGAAAATCATCTAAATTCACTCGTTGCTCCACTGCCCCTTGCACCAGAATTAAGAAGACTTAAAAAATTATGTCCTATTAACTTGATCCAATAGATTGCATCTAATAATAATTACCCACTGGAGTAACTACTATCTACAATTATATGTAATTAATGTGAATCAAATTAACTCATGGAATGTAATTAATGTTCGGATTGTTATTAATAAAAATTGATTGATTGCTTGAAAATAAACAAAAATTGTTGTTAGATATTACTAAACTAACCGGCACTCTTCTTCCTCGCGGCATGTCTCAGCTACCGTGTGGCAGGCGGGTGTCGGTGGTATAATAACTCCTCCTGAAAGACCGTTGGGTTGCGGCTCAGGTCTCCTGGCGCAGACGGGATGCAACCGTTCTTGCGCCAACATGCACTCGTCGGCACGATCGCTTGTTTTTCTAAAAAAAGACAAAATAGTTAGTTAACAAAATGTCTGAAATACACACGAATAGTTAATAAAAAAAATACATCAAAATAAAATAGTTTATTTGTGGTATTGTAATTTCAATTATACAGTCAACAAGTAAACCATCCTAGAACTCGGTGAGTATGGAAACCATGATATAAAAAATTCGGATCTAACGTACAAATCAGGCTAGTTCGTAGTGCGATTTGTGGAAACTATAGGGTTTATACAAGAAACGAAATTTATGGAAAACCGGTTTCCGTTAATAATGTTTTTTTTCCAAGAAACGGTTTTAACTGGTTTAGAGTTCTTATAAAAAAAACTATTAGCTCGAATAACTCAAACAATTATTACAGAAAATTTCAAGTGATTAAAAGTAGTTTTGGACTAGAATTATTTTCTAGTCAATTATTTTATTGATAATGAATTTTTTTATGCAATTTAGTATAACAAAAAAATAATGATTGACCACGACTAAATAATTTCAAAAAACAATTATTTGTTGTTTATCTTATATATAAAAATGGATCGCAAAATGTGTTGGTAAGCGCATAGCTCAACAACGCCTGGACCAATTTGGCCAATTCTTCTTTTAAAATGTTCGCTCATATCCAAGGATGGTTCTTACGGCGAGAAAAAATCTAATAATTGCCGGGAAAACCCTAAAAACAGCCCTTTTCTTTTTTAATCGAGTAAGCAACGAAATTTGTAGAAAAAACAATGATCTATGTCATGACATTTTGTGTAGTTTTTGATAATCTAATTTTTAATATGTTTATATAAACATGTAAATATCTTTCTATTAATTAACGAGCTATATTGGCAGCCAAAAACATTGATGTAAATGAATTAAATTTCAAAATTCAAGAACAAATTAGAGGCGAATGAGTTGATTCGGCAACTAACCAAGACGATCCACCGGAGTTTTTAAACTCGCTGGATTTGGTAAGATTGTCACCTCACAATCTTTAATTAAAGGTTGGATCGGCAATTATAATGTTGCAAAATATCGACCAACCGCGCCTTTGCAACGGTTGCAAATTCGAAGGTTAGCGATAAAAAAATTACCAAACAACTTGATGGAAGCAACTATATTGAAAGGATAGTATAAAGCAGAAGATGTTCTCCGTGCATCTCAATGTTTCCGACTAATGTGCCATTTGAGATTAAACGACTACAGTTTCCAGTGCGTTTATGGTATCATTAAGTGTTTGTGGTATTAATTTGGAAAATTCATGTTTCTCACATGGAAAAAATGTATGTTGACTGTTCCCGTATTGGAAAACCATCAGATTTGTTTGTCTATGCGCTAGGTAATCAAACAAAAAACATCGTTTATCACAAAGCACTACAATGAAAATTGAACTGAATTTTGAATTATGATTTGCACGATTAAAATTACTTATTTTTAAATGCTTATATGTTTTATTTAATTATTCTTAATTCACACCGAATTATTACCAGGGTGACGGTTCTGTTCGGGATAATTTTTTGCAAAGAATAAAAAAAAGGTAGGAATAAAACACCGCCACATTACAAATTTTTTTGACAGGACAAAGTCTGTCGGGTCGGCTAGTACAAAATATTTTTACATATAAGGGTGTAAATAATTTTATAATAGTGAAACAAAAGACTGCTATCCATTTCTAACAGTGTTTTAATAAATATAGTATATTTGAAACCGTCTATCGCGTAGTATGGAAACCGCGCTATAAAAAGCTCAGCATTAATACAAATCACATCATTTGTACCGCGTTATACGGAGACCGATGAATACAAAAGACAAGAGAATTTATAACTTGTTTTAATTGATATAAAGTTTAAGAGTTCATATAAATATGAATTATTTTTTATTGATTTGAAAGGTTTTATGTAAGAGTATGATAAAACTTACAATTATTCAACATATTTGTAATATAATCAAAAGATTTTTTAAGAGTTAAATTCAATGAAACATTGTTAGCAACAATGATTTGAATTCATATTGAAAAGTGTGTTCCAGAATAAACTGAACAATTGGTTAAAGATGTAATGAAGAATCCTGGTTCGAAAAAAGTTAGTAAACTGATATGATCCGTACTTAAGAAGGCAAATTTAAAATAATTCAAGATATTTTTTGAATCATTTGACAAGATTTAAATCAGGAAATATAGGTAAGTCTTAACTTAATAGTAGTTGATCGGGGTATTAGGAAGACAAAAGTTGAAAAGTCACACTTTTAAATTACCGTTAGGACTCAGTAATTTAAATCTTGAACCTTTGAACAATAGGTACGTGATTGGACGACTTGGTTACAAATAATGTAAAATTCTTGCAATTTATAACAAGATTTATGCAATTTTTTCGGAATAGACAACAATATTATTATACCAAAATTCCTAAACTAAATTAAAAAACTGTTTTTAACAAAAAAATTTTCAACCAGACTTTTTTTGAAAAGACTAAATGCTGTAAAAGAGCTCTGGCACTTCCAAAACCGATATCGTGCACAGCCATGACATGAACTGGAATGTTTATATAATATAAACATATTGTAGAAAATAAAAAATTAATATCGATAATAAAACTTATATTGAAACTTTTTACAATATATAGTTATACTTGAGTCATTCATAGGATACTCGAAAGAAACTTATGGCTGTTTAACAAAAACCGTGCCGCGTTATAGGAAGATTTGCAATTTCAACTTCGCGTAGTATGGAAACAGCGTCCCCAGAGTACGGTTTTATAAGAGGGATGATTATAAATGGAAATTGTTGTTAGGCTTCAGTAATTTGGATCCTGCACTCGCAATTGGACGGCTTGGTTACAAATATAGCCAAATTCTCGCGAATTAAGAGTAATACAATTTCTTTGGAATTAACAAAAATTTTGTAGGCTCTGATGATACCAAGATCCCAAGTGATGTTATCAGCACTCAGTTTATATAATGATATGATAAAAAATAATACAAAAACTAAACTAAAAAATTGTTATTGATAAAAAAATTTCAAGCAGACTTTTCTGGTAAATATCACAAGTGCTGTGAAAGAGCCCTGACACTACTAAAACCAATCACACACCTTTGATAAAAACTGGAATGTTTATAATATGAACTTTATATTGTAAAACTAGTCGATAATATAACTTATATTAACCGTTTACATTATCTAGTTAGTAGAGTCATTCATAGGATTAAAAGGAACTTATGGGCGTTTAACAAACACCGTGTTATAGGAGTACCGCATTATAAGAGTACAGTATTATCAGAGGTTTGTCGCAATTTCTGCTCCGCGTAGTATGAAAGCTGCATTCTCAAAATACCGCTTTATATGAAGGTTGATTATAAATCAAAAATTCTGAAAATGACTGGAAAACGGTGCAATTCCAGTGTCGTTTTCAAATAATACGTATTTAAAATATTCTTCAGCTTACGCTATATAATCAATCTGGTTTGGATGTCGGTAAACATTAGTGTCATCGTGACAGATATGGCAACTGGTTTATTTCTCTATGCAGTGTTTTATCAGGAATCACTAAATAGAGAGAAGGAAAGAGATCATCCCCGATTTTTCACATCGTTTGATTCGACGTGAGAAGATTGCTCTGTCATCAGCAGCATCTCAATAAACCGGCGTGCACACAATGCCTTCACTAGTTCGTTCAGTCGTGCATTACAATCAAGTCGCATTTTGTGCATATCGAACTTTATCGACTTTTCTGGCGTCGAACTGACGCCGAATCTAATGAGGCTATGAGCTTTTAAGCACCGCGAACTTGTAACTTCAACTGACATCGTAGAAGATAGGTATACTAATGTAAAATGGTATTATAATCACTTTGAATTTAATTTATGGAATGATTATGTATTTGGTTCAGGCTTTATAAATAGTATATATACTACTGTTGCAGTTACAAGTATCGAATAATTGCTTTAATTAAATTTTGGTATTAATTGATGATACTTGTATGATGTATGGAACTATTTCGTGCATTACAATTACCACCTAGAGCTTTTCACATTAACTATTGCACGTTTATTCGTGCAAATATGGATTGAAATGCGTTTTACACTAAATAAAGACTGAAATAATATTTACTGTTTAGTAAAAAGAATATTAAAGAGATATTTTCTGGATACAATATATACATACATATTTGTAGGCCTGCATTTTTGTAATGGTTTGAAATGCATTTTGTTGGGATTAATATGTATGTACGTATATGTTTACATAATTAATATGCAAACTTCATTAGTTGCATTAACTAGAATATCCGTATTATATACATTTTTAATAGTAAATCAGAGTAATGAAAGCAATTATATGCGCTTGTGTTTAATTGACCACAAAATGTTGTCAATGGGTTGTGAAATTGGTTTAATATCGAAATAACATAGATATTTATCATTCATATAAATTAATTATTAGCAATTTATATTATGTTCAATCTGCAATTATAATTGAAAATCATATAGTTCAAATGCTATTCGTACATTAACCCATATTTTGCGACAAAAGAATATTATTGCATAGATTTCCTGATTTTCGGGTACCCAGTAAATATAATATGCGTATTTGTTTAGTGGTCATAAATAGTGGAACTCACATGATCTAAAAAAATCGTTCTTTTTTGCCGTACTTCTTAAACGGTTTCACTTGACTCAAGAAAACATATTCTGATAATTAAATACTAATATTTTTTGAATCATCTAACCAGGCTCACACATATTCTTCACGAAAAGTGGCAGATTATAACAAACATACATATAGTAATAGGTGTTCTGCCAACATGAACCAGGGAAGAATAGTGTGAGAGATTTCCCATTGTCATTTAACACCGCAGTGCCCGAAATGGGCTATTTTCAATAGGAAACATATTTTTGATTTTGTTTTCAAGTGACTGATACCAATACTGATTGATATCAGGTTTTTCAGAGCGGGGATTAGATGTCACGACTTTTTCGATACAAGGTAATGGGCTTAACCTTTATGGCACGGAGCACCTAAACATACATATATGAATACTAAATATTTGAAAATGCAGTAAAATGCGCTTTGGAAAAAAATAAATTACTTTACAATTTTCTTTTCTATGAAGAACAAATTACTTTAAATGATTTTTTCTATGATATGATAAAATGATCAGTAACATAAAAAAGTAAAGATATCAACAATTTTTCATATTTAATTTTTTGCGATTTTATCAACTTACACTATGAGAAGTTAAAAAATACAACTATAAACTATAAACAACTATATACATATAAACAACTTTTATACAAATAAAATGATTTTTAAATCATTCAACGTGCATGACATCGTGCCTTACGCAAATTTCTAAAAGTTCCCACAGTAAAAATTAAAATTTTGAGCAAATTAGATTTTTCAGAACTTTAACATTTTTGAAAAAAATGACTATTGATTTTTTTTATATTCTCAATTTTTTTGAAAATTTTGAACTCTTTTTTTAAAGCAATGCGTAGCGCTGTGTAGCTATGTCAGAGAGGAAATATCGAAGCGCATAAGCGCCGCGTCGCAAACTAACGGATGAACATTGGTACGGAACTCATAGAAATGTAAATTTAAACTTATTATTAGGATTTCTATAAAATATAGATCAAATCTGATAATTTGATGAGCATATGCGTAATGATCATTTTTAACCGCTAAATGGCATTTTTTACTTTTTTTTATTGGATCTCCAAAACCGCTGAAGATGCTTTTACAAAAAATGATCAATTCTTCATTTCGTAAATACAAATAAAATGATTTCTGAACCATTCAAATTGAACGCTTCGTTCTCTCCAAAACTGAATTCCCATTTTTGGCACTTTTTGCCCCGTATCTTCGAAACGGTTGGACCTGCCAAAAACTCATCATTCAAATTGGTTAATCCACGGAACAAAAATTTGTATCCGCACGGAATTTTTCTATCGTTTTTTTTGTTATTATTCATTGTTTCCTCAATGGTCTATACCGAACTGAGAATTTAATGAAAGATATTCTCTCCTACCTTACACAAGTTGCAGACATGCCTGTTAAATAAATTAAGAATTTTAGAAAACATTTGAATAGGTCATTCAAAAGACTGGAAATTTATAATTATTTCTTGTTTATGTCTGCACAAAATTTTATTCTGGTACTTTAACTAACTTTTGCTACAAATTTGTCATTGTTTTAAACTTTTATAGGTATATGTTTAGAACTGATTGAAATCATTTGTAGAGTTGCATTCACAAATTTTGGAGTTTAACTGTTTAATTATTTTATAATTAATATTTGCTAATTGTATAATTATATATCACTTTTTGCTAGAAGTGTCAATAATCTATCGACTTCATTTGCTTCTTCATATTTATTTTGCTATAAGTGAGTACCAAGATAAAAGGTTTTATAAAAGAAATGTCTTATAAATCTAGCTGGTTTATTAACTTTCCGAAGAGGTTATATTTATGCCAGAAAATTTCAATTTGCAGATATTTGAAAACTATCCGAATAATATAATTTGAGAAATGTTACTATTGCGTTATTGTACGGCTTGTAAAAATAAATATAAAAATAATTGGTTCTGAAATCGTACACACATACATCCATTTTCTCTAAGGTTTACTACAATGTTCAAAAATATTTGAAACGTAAAAATATATAAAAATTATCAATAACGATTTTTCTTTGATTATTATAACTTACCCTAGGGGAAATTAATAAGAAGCTTTGTCAAGAAAAAGAATTCAGTTTATATTCAAGTAATTTAAAGAAAAGTAATATGTGGAATAACTTACTTGCACCAGCAAAATGCGACATCCATTCTCCATCCAAGTCCCTGTGACCTGTAGAAGGCTTGCAGCGCGTCCATGCAGTGACGGCGCGAACAGCGCGCCGCGTCGCAGTGCAACAGAACCGGCTGAAGGGCACCGCGACAGGCCGGCTCGCTACGGCAACTGGCCAAAGCTACGTGACATGTGCTCTGAAATGGTAACAAATTATAAATTGTTATTTTTTCTTTTGTTAAAAATTATTAAACATAACTTAACCTATTAAACTATATTACATACACATTATTGAAATCTAAAATCCAAATAAATACAGTATAAGTTTCTTATTCGCGAGACAAAATTGCAATCCAATTCCTATATTTGCGGCTAAAATTTTTGTTATTTGCGGTGTTTAATATTACAACTAACAAAATACCTATATTTGCGGCTAAAAGTTTAGTTATTCGCGGATTTTAATATCCTTTGTCAATTTTATTATCCTTTGTAAATAACGTCATTTTGAACTACTTTGAAAAAAAATAAAAAATACTTTGACATAAGCCGCCTTCATTGCTTTGGCCGCCTTCGTCGCTATCGGTGTTTTTGAGAATATAAAGAAACATAATAAAACCATCTATTTATCTGTCAATTAAATGTATTTTTAAATGTTGCTGTTTTGTTCTGTAGTAAAATTTGGTTCGAACCGACATGAAACAAAACATTCCCAGTCCATTGAAGAAGAGTAATTCAATTGCTTCAACAAGCAATAAAAACTGCCAATGAAGAGAATATAAAAAACATCTTCAAACCATTGCCTTAGCCTGAACATAATTGATCAAAATGTTAAAAAACTACAATTAAAAGTGTTTTTTTTATATACATTTTTCTTTATATTGTCGCGTTGGAACGTATCCCTTATAATCCCATATACATTACCACGAATTATTTATTTGGGGCATTTTAATTATATGTACCGTTAATAAGAAGCTTCTACTGTATATGATCAATGTCTTAATTTAGACTAACACTGGTTATAAACAAACTTTTCAAAAAAAAGTGAAATTTATAGGAAAAAGTAATTGACTCTTCTAAGTCTTATTTGTATGAAAATAAAAGTACCTACTTCTGATTTGTTTATTACAAAGCTCCCTTTTATAATAGATTTATTTGGACTCATTTTTAACTTCCCGTAGGGCAAGTTATAGTAATCGCAAAAAAATCGAAAATGAAAATTTTTATATATCTTTACGTTTGAGAGGTTTCTGAACATCTCTTACGCGCTTTGATATTTCGTCTTTATGCAGTTAAAGCAGTACGATTGCTTTGAAAAAAAGTTTAGATTTTCCAAAATATGTCAAAATAAAAAAATAAAAAAAATTTCAAAAAAAAAAATTTTTTTTTTTTTTTTTTAATTTTTTTTTTCAAAAAGAAGTAATTTTTGGTCCAATTTATAGTTTCTTAAAAATCTTATTTTTTCGAAGTAATTTTTTTTCAAAAATGTTAATTGTTTTTTTTAAAAAAAAATTTTGGTACGGAAAGTTCCAGCAATTTGCCTTAAGGCACGATGCCTTAATTGTCTTAAGACAAAATTCCACTTACAGCTAGTTCAGAAAATATTTATCAAATGTTGCAACATGGTTGGAGCGAATTTAATATTTATGTATACTACTAATGATTGAAAGTAATTAGGTTGAAGCACAGGTCAAAGTAAATTATAAATCAAAGCTGATTATAAACTACTTTGACGTATATAAAGAAAGTATTTAAAACATCGATTATATAACAATCTTTTTATTTAAAAAAAGTGATAATTCGTCTATTTAATTTATTTGTTAGTAGTAGTTCAATAATATAAGGCATAGGACCGCTAAATAATAATCTTAATCTAAATGAACATATTCTACCATGAATTGTATCTATTTGTAGCTAACAACTAAAATAATTAATTAGCGAAAAATGTGAGTTTTATTATTGAAGATGTTTGATAATCACGTTTTTGACGTTTTCTTAGAAAAGTACATAAAACTGTACATATATATTTTTCATAAATATTCAATAATATGGTTTAAAGAAATCATGTACGTGATAATTACTATGTCATTTTGTTCAATGTATGAGTATGTCATTTTGTGATAAAGTGATGAAAAATAAATATATAGTCAAAATTTTACCAAACATTTTCTAATTGTAATAAAATTGATCTAAATCACTAGTACTGACAATGAATAAGTCCTTAAAATGACAAAACCACCTTCAAAATAATCTTTTAAAATCGCGATATACGTTTGAACTGATTACTCCGACAAGACTGTGACAATGACGCTCAACATCTGACAGGATAGTGATTAGGTCAATTTTCAATGTTTTAGGCCAATTTTCAATGTTAAACTCAAAAAGTGGTATAAAACGGTCTTTCTTTTCAAACTGTCACTACTTTGCAAAAAAAAAAAAAACTAAATTTTAACTTGTTCGTAGAATATACCATAGCGAGCGACAATAATCTAGATTAGTTAGATCTCTTTTTTCCAATTTAGATAACTAGGAGGGTTGCAATCGTGGGCATGGTCACGTGTCAATTTTAAGACTATTGAAATTGTTAAAGTTTTTTTACTTTTTTCTGTACTCTTGAAACATTGATAAATAAATTATAGAAAAAATAATAGTGAAAAAATGGATTGCCTGTTTTTTACGATGATTTAAATATGACTTAAAATTAATGTCCTCTACCAGAATACCGCTTAAAAAGAGTCTTAAATCATAAAATCAATCTGATAATGCAATGCAATCGATTAAATTATCCGGAATCGATTTAAATCCGTTCGAACCTGTGAAGTTGCGATTATTCCGACGGCAGCAAGTTCGGAGCCACAATGAACGCTTAAGCACTTTGTTAATCCAATGACTCTAACGCCGCTTCTCCGACACTTCCACTTAAAACTTTATCTCCAAAGTAAATGAAATTAACCGAATAAATATAGGAGCATAACGTAAGATTTATGACCGGCAAAAGTTTTACAAGTTCATAAGCACATCTTGTTTACTTTAAAAGGATGCTTTGTTTACCTGGAACATGTTCCTTGTAAGCTCCTCATTTGCATCAGGATATACGGCGTCAATGTGTTTACCTGAAATTTTCAATTATTAAATTACTAACAAGTGTTTTATGTTTATGTTTGATACTAACAATAACATATGTATTGGGAATATAAAGTATTGAAGAAAATCATTAATATGTAGAAAATCTTGAAACATATGATGATACGTTGATGATAAATTATGTTCTATAAATCTAATAATAAAATATAATGTAATATAATGACATTAAGAAATTATGGAATGTGTAACGACAAAGAATATAATTATAAATAAAAATGGTAAAACTATAAATGCAAATAAAAATGGCAAAAAATGAAACAAGAAATAAAATCTGCAGTAAAATTAAAAGTAGTCGTCCGCTTAATTGGCCTTATGTACAGCTATTTAATGATAATGGTAAAATGGATATATGTATATATATATATTAGGGTGGTCCTTAATATGGACATTTATGAATTTCCTTGCTCCCAACGGCTCAAATGGTTCCTGAAGCAATTCTCTGAAAGTTTTAGCTTTTAATATTGTCTTTTAGATAGAGCGCAAATCAATCAAAGTTTTTTATGAAAATAGCATGAAAAAATTTTCAATAATTTTGCAGAGAGTCAAATTTTCAATAAAAAATGACATGAATTTTCACTTTTAATTCATTTGTCGCTAAGTTATACCTAAAAAATTTTTTTTTTTCAATTTTCAAAATTTTTTCCCTGCTATTTCCATACGAAGTTCGATTGAATTAGTTAAAAATATCTAAATCTATCTATCTAAAAGTTATTATTAAGAGCTAAAACTTTCAGAGCATTGTGTTTTATCAATTTGAAACCATTTGAGCCCTTGGGAGCAAGGAAATTCGAAAATATTCATATTAAGGACCACCCTAGTATATATATATATATATATATATATATATATATATATATATATGCGTATATAATAAGTTGCATGTTGCTTCTTTATTTTACGTAATTATTTAACAAATAAATTAATAATCTGATATATACATATATAATATATACATAATATCAATATATTTTGACCCAAATAAAACAGTAAAATTTTATGAGATATTTTCCTTCTAGTATTTTAATTTAATATTATGAATTATTACTTTTGAGCAATTCTATTAAAAATTTATAATGTTTATAGATCTTGTTCAACTTTTCGGATTCAATGTTACGCTTTAAGTTATTTTTGAACTAAGAAAAATATTACAGCTTTATCATTTAAAGCAATAGTTTTTATAGAATAGATTTATATCTTTATAAACTTCATTGATAAAAACCTAGACGGCACAAATTGTCAGTAGAAAGTGTTTGACAAATTTCAGAATTTAATCAGAACAAAAAAGGTAAACTAGAGGTACCAAGTACACATTTTGGTAAAATTCTGAAGAAGAAGAAATGAATTGAATAATAAGTTCTTCTATATTTTATCTTCTTTATTTTGTACGACTCCAAGACTTGATTAGAATATTATGTAATTCCATAAGCGTGTATGCTCTCAATTTCGTGTGATTTGTTAAGATTAGTTAGAGAAACAAAAATTTCATCTTTGATTACTCGTAAAAAGTTCTCATATGAACGGATGTACTATTATCGTATCTATGTGCAAATATGATGAATTAGTGTAAATCAATACCGGAGTGCAGAACATAACACATCTGCTACGTAAATTCTATGTTTAAAAGTGCTCACGCAAGGGATGATTCAATTATATATTTTTATATTTATATATTTTTATATATATTGAACTTTTATTTGAAGCTTTATTGAACTATTTATAATAAATTAAAATATGTCGTTTCAAATAAAATATATTAGTATTATTGTATTGATTGCTAGTAAATATTAAATTTATAATTTTTGAAGTAGGTCTTAAAGTTTGGATTCATATAAAAAAAATTCATTCTATTAATATTTTTTGAATGAACATCGTATAACTGTCAAAAAACCGTGAATAGTTTCGCATTTATCATCGCGTGAGCACTAATAGATGTGCACGCACATTCTAAATTGAATGCGACTAAAATCAGTGCCTATAAGTTAAGTGCTTTATAAGGTAGTGCACGTGTGTTGTGTGATTTATAGGTATCTATCGCGTGTGGGACGCAATATGTATAAATACATTGTGCCAGCAGTATTAACGGAACCGAAACAATAAAACAAACAGAACCAAATGAAAATAACTTCACTATAAAGGTGTGTGAAAATGTTTACGGTGTCTACAATCTACATACTTTGTGCTGCGGACGCGTCCAAGTCATCTTCGCCGACCATGGAGCCGTTGGTGTGGTGGGTGAGAATGACCGAGGCGCCCGCGCCGCTTAAGTGGTTCGCGGGATTTTGGCCCATGATGCCGGAGTGCGACACCGAGCCCCCAATCACGCTCCCCGACATGTGAGCAGGCTCCACCAGTGGATTCTCTAGTTGGGACTCCACGAAGCTCAGTTTTCCATTCGAAGTCGACATCACCTTCACTGTAAAACCAACCGTGCTCACGTCACACAAAGCGGCCACACCCTCGGTCGTGACAAAATCATATAAAAATAATAACGACAACTAATTCTACATTTACTACAAATAAATGCTAAGGCAATTGCTATACAACTACTCTATGAATAAAGGCTATATATGAAATAGTGATTTTAGCATGCATTTGTGAAGTGCGTCAATATGTGCAAAGAGTCGACAACCATTTACATTTTGCCTTATAGAAAGTCCGTTCACACGATGACTTTTTATATCGAGGTCTTTGATATAAATTGATCTAAATTTCCCTTCGGAGTAAACATAATTTTGATCTCTTAGCAAATCACGATTTCCACAATATTCCACTCTCGAAAATCTTCTGTGATGTTTTGCATGCGTAGGCGATATATATATATATATATATATATATCTTGATGATTTTTTGTTCGACGTTGAAACATATTGAAATGAATAAAACAGCCAATGCGTCGAATGTAAACAATTTAATTTATTTTTTATACGTTTCGAGACTAGATGTGTCTCATCATTCAGCTAAAATATATATATATATATATATATATAATTTATAAACTTTATATATTACTTTTTCAAGTATTATGATTACAGAACAAATAAACTTTATTTTTAATTTTTTGGAATTCAAGAGCTCATGTTATGATCTCTATAGTTTGTAAATTATATTTACAGTATAAGTTACAGTATAATTTACAGTAATTTTCTTGTACAAATATGAAAACAAGTTACCCAATCTCAAACAAAAAATAAATTTGATAAAATGAATTAAAACCAAAATATGTTTGTAACTTTCTTCGCTACATACATGTATACTTAACTAAATTATTACTTTACCTTTACCATGAAGAAATCGCACTGATATTTCTTGGTCGATTATCGAGAAACTGTTTACCACTTTCAGAATATTTATGAATAATTATTACCGATATTTTATTTTAATTTTCACAAAGTATTATAAGTCATAGTTTAAATATTTTTTTTGTGATTTATGAAATTGTTTATAATTATATTTTGGTTTGGAAAAGAAAATAAGCGGCCAAAAAATATATTTTAAAACTAATGAAATTATTTATATTTTTAATAAATTTATGTTTACTTTTGCATTATATACTTCATTTTCACCTTCAAATATTATGTTTTAACTTCAACTATATATAAGGTGACCATTTGTTCCGGATTGGCCGGGACAGTCCCGATTTTCCGCCTTGCGTCCCGGCTTTTTCTAAAAGCAATATTTGCCCCGGTTGTTGGTGTTTTGTCCTGGATTTTTAAAAATTTTTTGATTGCCGAAATATTTTTAAATAAGTTTCAAGTAGAAAACTTGAACCCAAAAAATGTGCATTAGATCACAATTCGTCCCGGATTTCATACAAAAAAATATGGTCATCTTAACTATATATTTCTTGAAAACCGTATCTCTGATAACTGATCATGATATGCAATATGTAGTATGATGATAAAATAGTATTTTAGAATAATAAAATATTTTATTTATTAAAAAAATAGTATTTTGTGATTGAACCTTTTTTTCCTTTCATTCAAAGTAAAATAAATAATAGTACGTTATTTTCATCTCAAGATATTTTTTTATAGTTTTTGTAAAATTTATAACAAAGGTACAAATGTAAAATCGCGGCATGTTGTTTTAGTGATCCGCATTAACTTATTAAAAACAGTACTTACAACGATAAAAATAAATTTATTATATTATTATCTGATATTAAATTATTTCTAACCTAGCTAGGTTAATATATTCATAATTAAATAATGTTAAACACAATCTTATTTTATTATTTATCTTGTGCTTTAATTTAATTTCTTTAGATTAGCTGTTAAGTTCATGGAACGACTCATGATTTAATCAGTTCAAAATGATATTATTTATATTAAGATAATTTTACACATCATCCCATTTATAATGACATTTCGCGATAAGAGTTATTAATATTGATTTTTGGTCGTAAAACACTCGGTGTCTTATACAAATATCATTATGATCGCTATAATTTTAAACATATGTTTTTCAATTTGGCGACTTAAAAACTGATAATGAAATAAATAATAATAATTCACAACACAATAAATCATAATTATGAATAATAGCAATGTTTTTTTATTAATGCAATTTTTAAAATGGTAAGCATGCTACATCAGCAGAAATTAAACTGGTATTAATAAAACATTTTTCAGAAAATACACTTGACAGCCCAACTATTTCCTCCTGCTATTAAAATTTAAAATTAGATTTCTTCTGGCTGAAAATTGTATGAAGGAGACAAATATCTAAATATCTAGAAAAAAAAAACGATGTAGTAATCCAGTATGTACTATCTTGTTGATAAAACGTATTTCTACTGTGTCTATAAAGTATAGGAGGAGTCCATTAATCACGTGATCGATTTCTAAGGATTTTTGAACCCCTTCTCCGCCCTTGATAGGAAGAATATCCCCATGTGATGATATATAAAATAACCCCCACCCCACCGCAACTTAACATCACGTGTATTTTTAATTCCTAGAAAAATCGTAAAACTTTTTGAAGTTTTTTGAATAATTTTGAAATATATTTTAAATTCAAGTAAAAAATAAATACACGTAATATCTTACTAGACCTTCCTCCTAAACCTCATTAATGGACGCTTCATCTAGGATATTCGTCTTCTTCCTACTTGCAGGATCATGAAGTTCACCAAAACAACTAAGTTACTGATGTTTTTGTGGTAAAATATCAACAATCAAAAGTGTTTGTTTCTGAAAATTGTTAAATTAGCCACATGTGGTTTCGGTTTCGGTTTCGGTTGTGGTTGTCGACTCTCGGCACATTCGGTGCATTGAAGTCTCACCGTTTTCGGTGGATTGCTGGTGCTCCATGGTGTTAGAAAAGTGCGAATTACGTGCTGTGCTGGTGGTAGTTTTCGGTGGAAACAGAAAATGTGGATATAGGTCAGTCGGCGGTTGCCATAGGTGTCGGAAGTACCCCTTAGCCGGATCGTGCGGGTACAACGCGTTGTCCGTGTCCGACATGTCGTACGGCGCCGGAAGAATGTCTGCAAAAATGCACAATTTTGCAACCTTCCACATTTTTCCGGATCGGATTCAAGAGCCGATAACTGATCTTGGCCGATGTTCTTCCGTGCCGGAAAAGCGTTTGCTACATTTCGAGTCGGACTTTGGATAATAATATATACCGTCGCACAAGAATTCAAACAGATGGTAATTCAGATAATAAAATAATTATGGATATGATATTCAAGTCGCTGCACTTATGATGAACTTTGAATGCATTTAGAACGTATATTCGTAAAAATAAATATTCACACACACACATATATATATATATATATATATATATAATTTTTTTTGTATGATTCTGAATTTGATGTTAACATATGTATTAACAAAGTCTAATAATCGGGCATATCATCAATAAAAAACATGAATTTCTTTCAGAAATTTATTTTAAATCCATACGTTTCGGCTATAATCCTAGCCTTCATTCAGTGGAAAAATTAGTTAATCTTAGTGTTAAATTGGAAAATTTTAATAATCCATGGAATAATCTTCAACCAGTCTACGAACAACACACTATCCAAATGTGATTTTTTAAATTAGTATTTTGTGAAAATATTGTGTAATTACAAGTTTAATGTTTATAAAACATAATGTAGTGCATTACCATATCTTGATACCATGGATTATTAAAATTTTCCGATTTAACACTAAGATTAACTAATTTTTCCACTGAATGAAGGCTAGGATCATAGCCGAAACGTATGGATTTAAAATAAATTTTTGAAAGAAATTCATGTTTTTTATTGATGTTATGCCCGATTATTGGACTTTGTTAATATATATATATATATATATATATATATATATATATATATATATATATATGCAAAAAGATTTGTGCATAAATATAGAATATAGTTTTCATGATAATTTAATAGATTATGTGTGTTTTAGTATTTTTGCATATTTTTGTTTGTTCGTGAATATCACCTATGATAAAGGTGATACGTCTTTCCAATGTTTGAGACATAAATAAGAAAAAAAGTTTGTTTTTTGTTTAAAGAAAAAAACATCCCAAAAAATTTTACCCAATATATAGGGGAAACAAATACACCAGATAATTTGTTTCAATGAAATACTATATGTATAAACAAATATATATATATATATATATATATATATATATATATATATATATATATGTGTGTGTGTGTGTGTATCCTTCAGGTATAAAATTCATGAATTAGTCACATATCAAATTTGAGCTTTATGAAGGGGATTGAATTATCGTAAATGTATGTAGCAATCATTATATTAGATAATAAATTATGATAAATCAATATATTATTATAGTCATTGTTCCAACTGCAAATCATTTAGCATTTTTTATAGGAATAGAAAAACTACTATTTAAAATGGTATTTAAATAATTTGTAAACTCATTGCAAGTAATAAATGTTCAAATGTTCTTGAAAATTTTCGGTTTATCATACATACAATTAGAGCAATAAGTAATTTTCTCACGATATTGGACAGTAGTCCATACTAAACGTATAAAATGATAAAAATATATGAATCTTACAATATTAATTTACATTCTTTTTGTTAATTGTTATTAATAATAGAAGCAAACTATTGTTGATTATCGTTATTGTTGGTTATAATATTCAGAAAACATGCTTGGTATAAGCTTAATTTTATTTTTATCGCAATTGGAATTTATTACTTAAAATTTATTTCACCGTCGGGGTTTCCACATGGATTAGTGGTTATAGCTACGAGATTTCAATAAAAGTCTCCCCTCAGATTTGATACTTGTGATTATTGCTTGGAAATATAGACAGCAATATACATATTTCCAAAAAAAAATTGGCCGGTACTGTTCCATCAATAGAATTTTCATCAGCATTACAGAAATTGTAATAATAAAAAATCATCATGTAGACATAAAAAAACTGTTGCAATTTGTAAAACGTAACTAACAAATAATCACAACAACTTATAATACTCTGAAGTTCTGATCGCTGATGATAATAATAATAATAAAAAAATTCTAAGTTGATCCGTTAAGATTTTTCTTCAAAGGATAGATAACGTATTTTGGAAAAATGTATTACAAACCATTGAAAAATGATCAGGTGAGTTTTGTGTTAAACAGTTTTGTAGAAGTGTCAGATAGTTTGTCAATTTTGCAATTATCAGTTGTAATTCTTGCTAACAGTTGCATTTTCTTCCATTTTTTGTTGAAAACGCTTAAACAGATTTGATAATTTGGAAACCAGTTGGCATACATAAATTGATATTAATATTGATTACAATTATTTAAATATACAAATGCAGTTAGAGATAATATATTACTTTCAAACTTTCTGGATAAAATAAATGTCCAATTTTCAGATTTCAAAATTCAGTTTTTAAAATTTTTAAACGTAATTATATTAATTAAATCAAGTATATTTAATTATTGATAGTACATTTTTTTACAAATTTTCAATATTCATTCACTTGCATGATAATCATGCCAACCATTTCTTCATACGAAATACTATGCGATTTAATAATTTAAATAAAATAGGATTTAATTATTTTTCATTCGCCTGGCCAGCATTTATATAAATGTCGTATTAGTTTATTAACACGTTTGTACAGTTTATTTTAATCAAATACAAAAAAGCAATTATAGCTTGGCATGTAGTACAAATAACAGCTGACGATCAACCAAACACAAATAACTTCATAAAAAGCGCTTCCCGCAGAAGTGTCGCATATTGACGCTCGTAATAAAAACATGCCCGGAGCAACAGTTTTTGATAAAAGCAAACAAGCTTTGAAATTTAGCCAAACGATGTCGAGATGGTCATTTCCGAAATGAATAATAGAACAAACACCTGGTAATTGATATATATCCATTTGCCATTCAGTTGCTATCATGATCAATCAGAATTTTGCAATACGAAAGGAAAAATGTTATTGTATTATTTAAATATTTAACGTTGATTAAAAACAGGGATAAACTGCAATTGACAGCTTTGCTAGTTTTATATTTGCATTCTAGATAATTGCATGATTTTATAATGGTATAATGGTAAGCAATTTTAACCAACTGTGCTCATCGAACAGTTCGCACAGTTTTGGGTCTTGTCTAAAAGTAAAATGCTTATGACGAGTATATTCGTCATGATCTCAAAAAAGTTGTTAAAGCGCTATTAAGATGTTGGATGAAAAATATAAGTTCATTTCTCCAAAATTTCAAAATTGAAAAATCATATTACTACATTTTACTTCTTTGTTAATATACATATATACTACATAGGCTAGAATGGTCCACAATTAAAAAGGTAATATCTCAAAATTTCACCAATATCTCAAAAACAAGCAAGCTAGGAAGTTTATAACAACAATATTTGAAATTAGAAGGAAAATAATGTATAACCAATCAGCTATCAGATGATAAACGGCCATACTTAAAAATCCACAACAAAAGTATTTTCTTTCGTTGTTGTTTTTTTTGGTTGTGAGCGCTGTTGTTTAGTTTACTAATAAAATTTTAATTATACGTTTTATAAAATGTATTGTTAATTTTAAGTTAGATTCAACAGATGTTTTTATATAATAGCTTACATGTATATGTGAATTTGTTTACGCCTTTATTCTGGCAAAGGCGTAAATGAAAAAAAAAATAGTAAATGCAAAAGCAAGTTCAGTTAAAAAAAATTTTTACAAGAAATAAATTAAATTAATAGTTATTCTAACTCTACTGCTGATTTTTTTTGACAAAATACCAGATCAAGGTTATATACAGCGTTGTCTTTGTAAAAAATGTGCCCATTAAATGTATGATTTGCATTGATCGAATATTGCAGCTATTATGTTGTAAAATCCCTCTAAAATTAAAAACAAGACATCGGATCTGTCCGCCCCCTGGCTGTCCCATTTTACCCCGCCTCTGAAGTAAAAATTGACAGATGATAATGTTTAGAAAAAAGTATATTAAAAAAATCACATTTCTATAATTAACTAGAATCTTTACTGAACATAGTACAATAGTTATTTGTTTGACACGAGTTATGTAGTTCATTTAGTTTAGATAGTATAATTACTAACAGTTAAATTGGACCTTTGTGCTTCGCCATATATTATATTCACATTTCGAAAAATTTATGCAACTTGTCTAGAAGTGAAATGCCACTTACAACTACTTACTATATACAATCATAGGCGCAAATTATTCTATACAACTTGATATTTCAATATATATATCTTTTGTTTTTTTTTTTCAAAAATCAATCTATAGCAAATGGTCAACGAATGACGAAAATACTCGTCAATACACAAAATTTTGCCACTTCTCCATGACAAGTATATTTGTCAATCACAGTTAACTATAATAATATATTCCCTGGTTAATTGAAATATAATGAAATTCGCCTCGTTGTTCATTTAACGAACTTTTTATTATTTTTAACTGTGACTTTATATTGAAATTTTGAGTAATAACAACAAAACGAAATAATGAGAAATTAAAAAAGAAGCAATAAGAAAGAAATAATTACTGAAGCAGACATTACGCTTCATAACGTTTATTATTAAAATATATTGCTCGGCATTTGTAATGGAAGCAATCACATTTCACTGAGGAAAATTTTCCACCTCTGCCACTTCGGAGTTATTAAACATAGACCACAATTTGCCACAGAAATGGTATATAATAGTAGTAAGTAATGTAAACTCTGGAATCAAGTATTCGCAGTGTTTTAAATTCAGTACTATTTGTTTTATCGAAAGAGTTAAATATTGCATCAGAAATACCCGTTAAAAATATTTGAAAAAAATCCTAGTACTACTAGTAATGAATCGGCTTAAGTAGTATGTAAGTAGGTGTAAGTAATATTTTACTTTAAGGCAAGTTTCCAAACTTTCTGATATTTGTTAATCATAGACTTATTCAATAAGTTTTTATATTTAATAACTTCTCAAATAGTGAATTTAAATTTTGAATTTTTGACGCAGCCCAGTATTCCAAACATTGA